TTTGTTATTTTTACGTGATTAAGGTTGAGAGAGATGCGCAGTTCCTACTTATTTCAGAGGTCGGTGTTCGGACACAGGTTAAAAAAAAATAACTAAGATGAAAATTTTAAAGGTAAGGAAGCCATCCCAACTTAGTGTGTGTCTGGGGGGTGGATTGGTACAATATAATCTTACATCCAACAGGTGATCAGCTTTTTGTTTGGAAAAAAAATCTGCTGTGTGTTTTGAATACTTCATTCAGGAGGAATTTTTTTCTGAACAGCTAATCCGCGATGATTAGTCATTAACCAAACACACAAACAAAACATCACCATCAGAACAGAGAAAGGAAATAAGGAGAGTGGACGACGATCTCGATGCTAGGATACGAGCGGGTGCTAACTAGACTAGACAGTGACCATTTCAATCAAAACACGCTAGACGACAGTATATTTTAAGTGACTTATATAGAATAGTTCGCAATCAGTAATTGATTTCGTCATTCTAAATATGTTCAACGCCAGCAGTTTTTTTTCTCCTTTGCGCGCTAATGTTTGTTAGCATCGCTGGAAGACAGGCACAGCAACGTGAGGAGAGGAAGACGAGATGTGATTTTCAAAATGGAGAACGTTAAGTAACTAATGCTCCATTTGCGCTGTATGTGTTAATATACTGATGACAAAAATGTCATGAATCAAACTAAGTTTTTGTTATTGTTTCTGACTTTTTTTTTTTTGGTCATTTTAGAGCCATTTTTCGATATGTCGAGCAGCTTCGATTCTTGGTATCGGTACGGATAACCTGATTAAGATAAGCTGCGATGATCGGTGAGTTATGCAGTTTTTAACATCTTAATATTTTTTCATTCTATAAACATTATTTCAGTATTTTATTATAATATTAACAATTCCAAATTATTGATTAAAACAAATTGTCAAATTTTCACGGATTTTGACGTCATTCTGAAGTCTCATTTTTTCGTCCAAATCCGTGAATTTGTTTTGTCATTGCTAAGTCACGAGAAAACACTATATAAAATTCACTATTTTTTTTATCCATATTGTGTTAAATTATTCAACTTTTGACAAGAAAAATCTCGAGATGATTTAAAAAATTGCCGCAAAACATTGTTTTTTTTATTTTTATTTAAGATGAAATGATCTATTATGACAAGTCTCTAATTTGTATTTAGATACATTGTATTTATTTTCTAGTTGAATTGTTCACCTATATTGCACATGCTCCATTATTGTATATAATTAGGTTACAATAAAATTTGTATTTTATATGAAGACTACATTATGAAAATTGAGATGTAGTAGAGTGCAGTCCTAGTATCATAGATTCAAAGATGGTGCACGAAACACTTGCACCGGACCTACACAAGTGTACTGTAAATTTGTTTATAAATAAATGTGCTTCGAAATGTTTTAGTTCCTTATAATTTGGGGTTATTGTCTTATAGATTTTCTTATAAGTAATTCTTATCTGCATTCACGTTGACATTTCGATAAAGGTAAATGAGAATACTGAATATATATATATATATATATATATATATATATATATATATATATATATATATATATAAATATATATATCAAAAGCAAAAAGAAATAGAATCAAGTTTTAAAGGTGAACTTGGAACTGAAATACAAGTTTGTCACCGAAATGCCATTTACATTAAAGACATTGTAATCTCCTTAGAATTGCGTAGAAGTCATTTTGTAATCTCCAGGAATTTGTTAGTTCTTGGGATGAAGTGCAAATCAATCTCGCCACAAAAGAGATGGCATCAAAAAACTGTCGCATAATATTTTTTTTAAAGTCTTTATCCCTTAATTCTGATTTCGTTCACGTAACAACTTACTTCCTCTGGCGATGTTTTATGGAAACAATTCTCGTGAAATTTAGAAATAATAAAACGACTATTTCCAATTGCTCGAATTTTAAATCTGCAAGAAACTTTAGCATTCGGAGTTGTTTCAAAATGTTTTTTTTTTTTGTCTTTTAATCGTTAATTTCTATTGGTCAGTATTTTAACAATTCGATGAAAGATCATTTAAATATCTTTTTGACACACTACCATTACAAAAATGTATGCACCTAACTAATCAGGTATAAATTAATGCTCATCCTATACATTAAATTCTCTTTCATAAAGTGTTTGAAACGAAGTGCTGATGTCTTACTTTACGTAGACCCAAGCGCACCAGCTCTCTAGCCAATCAGAGCTCGGTTCTGTATAATATACATTTTCTGTCTATTTCAGAGATGAAGTATTGTAACTATTTACATTGTTCGAACTGTTGTCTTCGTCTTTATTCTTATCTTCACGCCTTTTCGGTCCGTGTACGCTCCTTGTACGATTCTTCAGGTAATATTTGAAATTTCGAAGCGAACCCTTTATTTAATCCACGAGGGTAAATAATTCTAAGTCCACACATGGCACAGTCGATAAAAGCGTTGGTTGATTGGGCCAGAAGTGTCTTAACATAAAGAGTTGCGAGTTCAATCCCTAGCCATAGCAGAAAGGACAGAAACTTGGTAAGGAATTAACAACTGAAATATCCAAAGGCATGGCACGTTGAATTAAGACAATCTCCAAAACCCCCACCACCACGTGGGCTAAACGGTTTCGGTTCGAAAGTACAAATATCAGAAAGTCGGATCGTACAACGTCCGAAACATCATAAATATAGCAATAAAGATAAGGACTAGTGTAAATATATTCTTTAACCAATCATTTTTCACTACGTCGAGCTTGTTCATGGATACAATTTATTAGTATCAACAAAGATTGAGATGTCAGTTAGTCTTATGAACAGTTCGCAAAAACATATTCGCCAGACGACACTCAGACAGTAATATATTAGTCGACATGAAAATCATGCCATCCAATATATTTCTCCCTAGACTCAAACAGATGCATTTGCCGGTGCATACCCTTTCACTCGGGTTTGAACAACACTTTCATAATTTTCATGCAATACTAACCTACTTTCATCAATCCAAAACTACTATATAATCCTCTAATAAGAAAATGTATACCTGCTTTGTTGACCTCACAACAGATGACCACATCAATAGAGACTTCCCCTTCTCATCCATTAGAAACCACCTTACAAGCACCGAATCTACTGAACGCATTGATCTAATAAAGGAACTGTATCTATCAACAGATTCTTACATGTCTGGCAAGGACCACAATATAGAAATATTTCAGACCTCATCAGGAGTACAACAAGGAGGAAATAGGCGCCCCAGTCTATTTAATCTCTTCCTAGACAACCCTGCGCATTTGCAAACACAGATTTGATGAGATTTTAAACAATCCATACCGCATCCCAAACGAATCTATCAATGGAAAACAATCATGCTTTCCCACCCGAGGCCAACGTAGTGATGATGAGGGATCTATGCTGATAATTGTTCATAGTTGGATAAACAATGATCTTGAACAGAAAGTCAGCATCTTTTACAAGTGTTCCAAGGAATGGGACTCAAGATAAACTTTTATAAGAGAGAAACTATAATTTGGAATTGGAATGAAAGCAGTGATAATACAGATACTTCGATGTATGGATCAGCTATAACAAATATATATATGAAATAAGTACAAGAGAAAAAGAAATTGAACATAGAATAGGCTGTGCCAGAGGTAGCTTAGCCAAACACCACAAATTGCTACGAAACGAAAATATCAACCTGAAAACTAGAGTCACGTTCTTAACCAGCGTCGTCAGATCGAGACCTCTACGTGGACGCAATGCATGGCACCAAACCCGTTCAGAAATATTTAAACGGTCAGTTGTATACAACCGCTTCCTAAGGTCAATGATAAAAAAGACTTTGAGCGAGTAAAGCTTGAGGCTCTTGACAAAGATCATACTTCTTTGAATCAGAAAGAACTGTACCAAATAACAAAAACCACATCATTTGAGGACTACCAACAGCAGCAACAATTAAAATGGATAGCACGTGTAACCCGAAGAGAAAATAATGACAATCAAGATGTTATATCTAGAATGTTCAGAAGGAAACCCCCACGATATACTGTAAAGAGCGAGACTTAAAAACTTGAGAAAACAGTTTTCCCGAAGAAAAAAAAAAAAAAAAAAGAAAAAAAAAAAGAAAATTTTAGAAATTTCAACCAAAAACAGTATTGGCTGCTCAGTCAGTGAATGCCAAATTTGTTTTCCTTGTAGGGAAACGGCTAATATTACCATTACTATATTGTATCGTGTTAATCTACTAGTCAACGCTCACTAATATCGTCTGCATCAACGATAACTCGAAATCATTACAAAAATTCAGCCGTTTGGACATTTCGACTTCGTGTAATGGTTAACAATTACGACTAAGTAGCGAGTTCGAGCTTAACTAGGTGCTCCATTCTTTTGGGCCTGTGTCACATCTAAACTACGCTTAGAAAATCACCATAAATTCAGTCGTAGACAAGCTGAAAATTTAAATAATGCTGCTAATAAAATCATCCGTTATTATTGTTTTAACTGTTCATTACCACCGCCTACACAGAGCTCTTCCTTTTTTTTTTTTTTTGCGAACCAAGTGCTTCCACTTGCGAAATCTTATCAGCATTAAAATGTGCAGCGTCAATTACCACATACGATTGCAGGATGTCACCAGTTGTTAATAAGGGTATAATTTGTGCAATACTGTTTCTAGCAAACAATTCGTAAATGAATATATAATGTCATTTTTTGTCAATGTTTTATACCATTTCACTGATTATTTTCATTTCTTTCTTTATTTTTTTGGTATACAGTTGCATTTATTGTGCGTTTTACTCAGTTTTACTCCTACTTGAAAATGTAAAGAGCAGCGACACTATGCTAACAACTGCACACAACAAAGAAATAAGGAATAAAACAAAAGGAAATTCCATCTTCTTCAATTTGATTTTTCTTCTGCATTGTTTCAATATCTTCTCGGAAATGAGAAACTATCAAAAACCTTTTTCATCTTATGCGCGTTTTATTTTAATTTTCAGAGGTAAAATGAACGTAGCCGAACTTGAAACACAAGTGATATCGGCCCAAAAGGCCGGTAAGTTGCCATTCTTTGTTAATGCTACGGTGGGAACCACAATCCTTGGCGCTTTTGACCCATTACCAGAAATTGCAGACATTTGCGAACGTCACAAACTTTGGCTTCATGTTGATGTAAGCAGTAGTTTTATCAATTTCTGAATATAATAATAATAATAATATCGCTTATGTCCGGCATGCTTTAACTGTTTTTATTGTTGTTGCTGCAATGTACATGTTGTATCCTGGAGATGTTATTTTTGTAGTTTAATGTGCGGCACATCAGTTAAGTAAAATGTTTGCGCAGTCCTTTATTTTTACCTCGAAATGACTAAAAAAAAAAAAAAAAAAAATGATTTTGCACGCACCATATTCAAATGTTAACATATCGGATACAAATTTTAAACTCTATTTTAAATAATTTAGTTATGTTCGAGTGCATTTAACCTTTGGCAATAAGTGAGATATGATGAGTAAATAAGATAAACTACACACAATCCTATTGTACTTTGCCTATCCTTCTCCTTGTTAGTTCGCACGACCGTTACGCCCGGCCAATACCTCATAAATAATGGACTATTCCGTTTTGATCGCAAGGAGAAGACTACTTGGTTTCAGTGAGAAAATGAATGAAAGAAAGAAGGGAAGGTAGACGTATTTAACTTGCTGTTTCAAGGAAATGGAGAAGTTAATTTCAAATATCTTCATTTGTACCCACTTCATAAAAAAAGCATTTATATTTATGATTTTTATTGCAATATTTTTGTCAAGCTGAAATATTTAACGATCGATAGGGCAATATCTACGGATATTTTACTGTCGTAAACTCGCCATGAGCTTACCCAGTCATTAACTTAAGAACTAAGATTCATCAGAATATTAAAATAGGAAAACCGTGAAATTGTCACGGGTTGTTACTGTAATCAGCTATGGCGCTATCAAGACTTGTTCAATTTTTCAGATCGGATTTCAGGGCGCAACCTACCCCCTTCACCCCAAATATCTGGGACTGGTGCTCGTGATGGGGATTTAACCATTTTATTTGTGACTGATTTTTTATCTCTTCACCCCAAGCAAGGTGATAATGCCACTAAGGCGCAAGAGGTCACTAGGCGTGAAAGAAAATGGGAAAAATTTTGAAGGAACTAGAAACCCAATCCTAAACAGGAAACAAGGGATAAACCTTTACTCCTGTTCAAAAGACGGGGTTTAAGAGTCTGAACCAGGGGTCAGGCGAACTTTCCCGGAGAACCTAGCCACAAGTTTACGCCTTCATGGTGAGGAGTGAAATGTGTAAATTTTTATTCTGCGCATAGACTCCGCACATTAGTTCCGGTTACATTTGAAAAAAAAAAAAAAAAAAACAAAAAAATCATCAAATAACAGAAAGTAATTTAAGGACCAACCAGGACCGTTCCTGTACGTTCGAAGCATCCCAACGTTATCCATTAACGATCTATAAGAAGATAGTTCTAAGTTTGGTCGTTACGTTTCAATTAAGTATATTTACGCTGCCCCATACCAATTAATGGTGGAATTATAGAGAATAACTCAAAGACAATCTAAACAAACAGACATTCGGACTTTTCCTCAATAAGCCTGATCAATTTATTCACACTTAATTCGGTCATAAAAAAAATGAAATGTGCTTATGGTGATGTATATACATACTTCATTAACTGCTCATGGAAAACAGTTGTAATCTGTGTATATAAAATATTTGTTGACTAAAAACGCCAAGCCTTTTTTCTTAAGTCTGTTACAGTGATGCCTTTATCTCCTTTTGCTTTTTCTTGACCAAAGACATTTTAAGATCGACTACTACAGTATTAAGGGGATGCATATCTTCGACCTCATCGATGTGTCTGTTTAGACTCAGGACATTACTTATTATAATTCCTGAGGCTTCTTATTCTGACAGTCAGTCGGAGTGATTAAAGACAATTTCTAAATGGTGATAAAAGTAATAATTCTTCTGGAATGGCTGATGGGATACTAGGCCGATATGACGTCATCGGTTCTAAATGATTAATTATGGATTTAACTATCAAAATAGTGCTTTGTGTCCTGTCATGGGACTGAGATAGTTATGTATTTCCTACCAGTCTGTTCGAGTCTAAGTAAAAGTCAAGATATTTAAAACATGCAAGTTTTTTCCACTTAAAAGTTCGACATAACAATTATCCCACCTCCATTTCTCCGATTTGCCTTGATCTATATTAAACTAAACTTCATAAATGTTGAAAAATGGTGCTTCGTTTATTGTCTGTTCGTACACCACTTATTGTGATTATTAAATCTTAAGCCTGTAACTGTATCACGTGCATGTAGTTGTTTTCTATGTTGCAAACAATTTGTTTTCTTAATTGGGCAGAGAAATAAAAAATTCTGAAACTAATTAGAAAAAGAAAGAATAAGATTAAAATATAATTAAATTTATACGAAAAAGTTTAAACGATAATGCCACTGGAAAATATTTTTTATTCATTTAACTAATTTTATTTAGTTATATTATTTCGTTCTGCAAACGCCAAAAATATAAATTATTTCAGGGTCTTTCTTATATATATATATATATATATATATATATATATAATGTATGACAAATGAAAAAGTTTCATGGAAACTAATTTTGATTACGAGTCTCGCCTTTCAATGCTTCATCAGATCCAAAAACCAAAGAAGTGTGTGTGCGTGTTTAAATAATGAATCAGAGTACTCCCCACCAAAGCCATTAATATTTATTCTGTATGTTTTCTTCATAATTCTTAGTACATGTTGAAAGCTGTTAATATATATTCTTAGCTTTTTGTTGTTGTATTGAATTAAATCTAAATCCTCATTTCATTTTCGGAATTGTTCGAAAGTAAGAAATCCATATAGCCTTTTTTTAAATGAATCCATTAATATATTAACAACTTTTGACATGAACTAAGAATTATAAAGAAAAAGTACAGAATAAATATTAAGGGCTTTTTTTCTTTCTTCTTTAATCAGTTTAAGGAAAAAGTACTGATTCATTATGTAAGCATACACGCAAACACATTTCTTTCTTTCGTTTTAGATTTGATGAAACCTTGAAAGGCGAAACGCGTAATCAAATCTAACTTCAATGAAACGTTTTCTATTTGTCAGGTTTGTTTAAAACTTTGTCGAGATTCTATATCCTATTTAAAACAACAAAAAACAAATAAAAAAACACACGCACAAAGTTAAAATGACTTACAAATAATGAAATATATACTACGTTACATAGAACACCTGAAAAACGTAACTTTCATACATTTTTTTTAACTAATCAAGTTGGGTTTATTTCAACATTAACTGCATTAGACTAGAAATTCAGCGTCATAAGAAAGCGAACTGTTCTATTGAAATGTACGATTTTAATTGTAGGGTGCCTGGGGAGGTTCGATACTTATGTCAAAGAAACACAGACATTTATTGGATGGAATATACAGGTGAGATATGAATACATACAGGTGAGATAATGAATACATCTTCAATCCAGTTTGAGAATATTTTCAGGGGCGCCTCTTTTCTGTGATTTATCAAATTTAGTTTTTTAATATTTTTTTTAAATAATTAATACAATTTAAAATCATTTTTAAAAATTCGTTTTCAGTTCCATTATATTGCAGAAGCTGAATGAAAAGAATGCTGAGACCCTAAAACTAATTAATAAGAATTCTTGTATATCACTGGACGGAGAGCCATGTGTGATAGAAAAAAATCGACTAAGCTTAATATAGTTCTCTTGATTTGAGAAAAATGTTATATTCCGGGGCTGCCACCCACTAAAATGCTGGCAGGACCACCATATATGTATTAAATCTTGACCTTTTATGAGCAGCTCAAATGAGAAGCAGACGAATATTATATATATTCATCCCGTAAGGGACTTTTATCAAGGTAAATGTAAGGATTTAATTTTACAACAGGCATTTAAAAGCCTTACATTTACCTTGATAAATTCCACCAGGGGACGAAATGCTTCGTTAAAGTTTTTTCCTTTTCTTATATATATATATGAAATTTTCTTATTTTTACTCACGAATTTATTATGTCCAGAGGCCTTGTTCCTTTAAAATTTATTTTATTTAATTTTAAATGGATACACCACCTACAGAAAATGAGAGCGATAGTCAAGAAAATTCGACAAAACCTTGACTGCGAACACTATATCCTTAAAATAATTATATACGCAAGTACATTAAAAAATCCGTAGCCTCATTATGAAAATAGGTCACAAAAATCTCCTGAGCCGACCAGACATAAAAATGAATACACTATGGGAACCAGTAATAAGGAGTACCAGAGAAAGCGATAATAACAAGAAAAATTGCAATATGAGATCTGGTAAAAACGTGAATTGATAACAGCAAAAATTGCAATATGAGCACTGTTAAAAATGGTTGCTGAGACATTATGCTTATAATACCCAGAAATTCATACACCGATTTCCTCAAGGACACATGGCACAGTGTATAAAGGCGTTAGTGAGATCCAGTGACAGGACCCAAAGAGTGTGAGTTCAACACCCGGTTAAGGCAGTGGAGAACCTGCAGAGGGGAATTAACAGTCTGATAACTGACATCCATTAAACATGGCGCGTGGAACTAGAACATTCTACCCCAGTGAGCGACATTCCGACCACCTGAAGAAGGCCGGAGCGTACAAGGTCCAAAACGTTGTAATAAATATGGCGACAAAGAATAATGTAAGTGTACATAATACCGCATCTCAGAAATATAGACAGGTACTGAAACTTTTTTTTTTAAATATTTGTTAAAATAATCTTGTTTTTCAGTACACTTAATTTTGAGTTGCATATAAATCACATCATTCGCACATGATGCACTGAAAACTTCAAGCAAAATTCAACGAATAACTGTGTGAAACGATAGATTCACTCGAGTAAGTTTATTAGAAGTGATGACGATCAGCTTGGAAATTGATCGAGGAAAGCCAGGTTCAGACGGTAACCATTTTCTTTCCGTTGGAAAAGCCATGACAACATTTCTCCCTGTTTTCGCCTGGTACCCTAACAAAATATATCTCGATACTGCCATGCCACAATTGTTGACGGTTAAATGAACGAGTAAATAAATTGCTGGACAAACAGCTCCCACTTAATTACTTTACCTGCCTAGGAAGCAGCTGTAAAAGCTGTAACTTTTATTGTTAACCTTATCTAATCATAAAAGACAAAATGGCAGATATAAAACCATTAAGAATAATTGCGATTAAAACAGTCATATTAAAACAACGGAAAAAGACAATTATTAAGCACTTATTAAAAATCAATAAATATGTTTGGGCCTATAAAAAAGTCATGTTCTCGATACCGATTAAAGTTCACTCTGATTTTCAACTTTACGGTTTTAGAGACAATCTATATTGTCTTTTCACCGATCCATCCTTCTGTCAGAAGAAAGAGTGGCTTTTGGGCTTAAATTTAATTTTCTTTGGTGTTTATATATTTATTGTATAACATCCGGTCGTTCGTGTTGGTGTATTTAGTCACTGTGCTCATTTCTTGTCCTCGATTGAGCTTTGATGAGAGAGGAACAACAATCTGGCTAAACTACTTTGTTTTTTGTTGTTGTTTTTTCGCTAATATATTTTCCTTTTCGATATTAACAATTTACTTTTATTGTTATTATTTCCTGTTTACTATGTCTGTTTTAATCGCAATTATTGAATTCTGCACGGTCTGATCTTTTAAAATATTGGTAATTATCGTATTTCCCGTATGCTAAGATGCATTTTCCCTGAAAAATGCCCTAAAAATCACCGTGCATCTTAGCATTGAAAGGTCAAGCTGTAGGAGAAATTTGCTCAGCCTCACGAGTCCCAGTCGCGAGATACAAGCAATCACGAACCCTAATCACACACATTATATATATATATATATATATATATATATATATATATATATATATATATGTGTGTGTGTGTGTGTGCGCGCGCCTATAATTATCATTAATATATAATAAATAATGCATATCCGTTAGTATCATAGCGTATATATTGTTTGTTTTTTTTTGTTTTGTTTTTTTCGAGTATTGATGATAAGTAGTAGGCAGCTTCCTATTGGTAGTATAGGTCTTTTGTTCATCTAGGCAAACCGTACGGTATCTTCATGAAGCCCAACACCAGCCACGTAATACAGGCTGACAGTTTCGCTTCATATGTACACCAAGATTACCAGCTGTATTACCGTGCAACTGAAACAAACCGTCTCTGTGTAAAAACTTACATTTATTTTATTCCCGGTTTTACTAAACAAGGTAATGTTAACGATTACTGTAATAATACAAGTGGATAGTCGATAATCTATTCATACAATGAGAGCGGACTGTGGTAGGGTAGGGACGATGCAAAAACCATCACACCGTTTGCGCTCTTGAACGTAGCCCTGAAAACATCGGCTGGGAGTTGAATGTAAAAACACGATGTGTTGAGAGGCCTTGTGCGAAACTATTGAAAATCTAATTCATAATAACCACACATATTTAATAATAAAGTCCAAAAGATGGTATTTTGTTGTGACAGAATGAAAAATAACACAGTAGAGTAGGCAACTTGGACTTCCTAGTATGGTAAGCTATTAAATCTTCAAATATATCTTTCCTTCCTTCAAAAAATTACTTAGCCAATTATCTTATCATACGGAAAATATCTTCATAAAGCTACTTTGAGAAAACGCTGTCAAAATATAATTTTGCATTGGCAATTACTGCCAAGGTTCATTCAGTTAAATTGTACAATTTTCTTATTAACGAGCGAAGATGGTGTGGCTGTTAACGGTACGGAAAATGGAACCTGTAAACCGGTTTCGAATTCTGGTCAAGACTGCTTATATTTACTTTTCAATAATAGCCATAGAAAATACATGAAACTACATCACGCGGGCGCTGTCGTGTCGCTAAGTATCATTAAATAAATCTGTATCCATTGGCATGGCCGACGATTAATAAAGAAGAGAGTGGATGATCCCTTATGTAAACCATTCCCCATAACTATCACCCAGGCTGTAATAAATCTAAAAATTGTTACACCTATTGACAGAGAAACAAATAAGAATTTCTTCATTCGGGATGAATTTATGAGTTTCAAAATATGACCGATATGTTGTTTTGGAACAAAGATGGAGAATTTTAGTTGGACAAAGACGAATTCAAAAGCCGCATAAAATAAAGTTGACAAAATCACTTCGTTTAAGGATTAAAATAAATTTTCATTTTATTACGAAAACTTTAAATTGTAACAAAAGATTTTATGAAATCTAAATGACCTTTTGAAGATTGTGGTTCCATCCATCTGTATTTATTTGAAAAACCTATTGCATAGAAAAACCTATTGTCCACCTCTCTCTCTCTCTATATATATATATATATATATATATATAATATAAGAAAGAAGGGGTGCCGCAAACGTTTTTGGTTGTAATGTGGATTTATTGAGAAAAAATATACTTTGTTTTACATAATTTCACGACACGTGTTTCTGGTCTGGTCTCGCAACCGTCTTCAGGCGAAAGTGGAGATTTTTACATATTATTAAAAATTTTTTTATTAAAAAAATATTTCCCAATGTGTGTATATGTGTGTGTGTACTGACTACTTGTGGTGGGATAGTGTGTATGTGCGTGTATGCGTGTATAAGTACAAATAAGTTTACGAATTCCTCGTAGTAAGGAAATATACGCACGCATATATACACGCATGCTGACAGGAACACGCCAAAATAGAAACAGATCCAAGAGCACATAGAGGTCACTAAAACATTAAAAGATTAAATGCCGATAACTACTCGCTGGACAAACCTTAATTGTTTTATGACCCTTCACGCAGAACTCTTCATTGACAATTCTAGAAAGAAAATTCGGATTGCCAACACACAAACAGAATGTCTCATATCGAGAATATTCCACATTGAACATGAAGAAAAATTAATTATTTTTAATAATATGTAAAATCTCCACTTTCACCTGAAGACGGTTGCGAGACCAGACCAGAAACACGTGTCGTGAAATTATGTAAAACAAAGTATAATATTTTTTCTCAATAAATCCACATTACAACCAAAAACGTTTGCGGCACCCTCTTCTTTTTAATATACATACTTTTCTCTCGTTGGAACCACTACAACATATTTCTTTTTATATATATATATATATATATATATATATATATATATATATATATATATATATATATAATGTTAGTGGAAGACTGTTTTTGAAGCCAAAATTAAGACAAGCAGGCTTTGTGGTTGAGTTCTCGAGCTTTAATAGAATTGAACTTGAGTTAATGTGAAAAAAAATTATTATTAATTATATATTAGAATTTCATAAACCATACTTATTATAAAACCCAGGTTGTGTGTGTGTGTGTGTGTATCTGATCGTTTTTATATTGGATAGAATTTCCTACATTTTTCAACCGATTTCAACAAAACTTCACAGGACTACGTAAAATTACCTTGCGGTGGTTCTGACAGCACCAAAAATTGGAAAAACGTGTGTTCGTTTATATATGGGATCGGATTTCCTACATTTTTCAACCGATTTCAACAAAACTTCACTTTTCTTTTTGGCAGGTAGCGTTTCTTATTGTCTTACACACTTTTTTCTTTATTTTTACATTCAGAATGCTTTAAAAAATCCATTTACAAGACTATTGTTTATAATAAAATTCTATTCAATCGGTAGACTCATAACGATTGAAAACAATGTTTTTGTTTGAGTTTGACCAATTCGTAAAAAAAAAAAAAAAAAAAAAAACTAATTAAGACATGCGTGTCCGTCAACCTTAAGCAATAATCTTTGTCAATTTTATTTTTCAGTCTTTATGATGGTCGATACTTGATCTATCTCTTACTGTTACATCACCGGGCAACGCCGGGCTCTACTGCTAGTTTGTAATAAACGCACCTGTGAAACTCTTCCAGCTTCTCAGTCAACTTTGATCTTCAAAAATTTAAATACAATGTCAATCGTCGTCTTCTGTCTTCTTAATTCTTGTTCTTTTATTGTTCCTTTTCCACATAATATTTTTCTTTTTCGCATATTCTCTTAGATTTAGTAACCCCTTGCGTCTTAGTGGCTTTGCATGGGGTGAAATGATTATAAAAAATACACGAGAATAAAAAATAAACTTAATTAGAACATAAATAAAGTTCGATTAGCAAGAGATTGAATAAATAATATTCCCTGCTAAAGTAATGGATCATATGTAACATCCATTACGCTAAATAAAATCGGTGACAAGATATACTAACAAAAGCACATTTTCTGCACAAATATTAATATTTTTTAATATATTTCAGGGCAAATTCATTCACTTGGAATCCACACAAACTGTTGGGTGTCCCGCTGCAGTGTTCAGCGTTTTTGCTACGAGAAAAAGTAAGAACTTGAACATTTCTGTCCTAATCATTGTTTGTAATTGGAATAGGAAATATTGTACATTTCATGATAAAAACGTTATTACAAAGAAAAGATTCTTTGAATTAGATTTTCTATTATAAAAAACAAATAGGTGTAATTAATCCGTTGTGCTGACTAATTACAACATGTATATTTTAAAGTGAATCTTCTATATGTGTCGTGTCCTCCCAGGACGTAGGCAATACATGGCTATCCACAATTTCCTGTTTTTCGTAGTTTTTAATAAATTGTCTGTTAATTCTCCCAAACCCTGTTCTATTATCCATTTACTGAAATATGTTATGCATTGTTTTCCTGTCCCTCTTTTCTTCAATCTGTCCTGTGAGTATCAGATTTTTGAAGCCTTCTTTCCTCATTATGTGCCCTAGAAAATTTAACTGTTTATTTCTCATATAAAGTTTCCTTTATGTTCCCATTTTCACTAAAATATCGTCGTTGCTCACACATTCGGTCCATTATATCCGCATCATCCTTCTGTAGAACCATATTTCTGTTGCTTCAGTTCTTTTTATCTTTGAGAAAATGGTTCAGTATTCACTGCCATGTAGGAGGACTAATTACATATTAGGATATTACATGAGGATATTACATGACAATTCAATAACTCTCTGTTTCTAACGAAATGTTTCTGTTTCTTAATAATTTCCTTAGCTTTTGGAAGGCATCTTTAGCTATCCAACCAGTTTTCGGATTTCAGTGTCGCACTTACTGTTCTCGGTTAAAACAAAATTTCCCGGATTTCCCAAGATTTAAAATTACGTTTTATCCAACTCTTAATTTTGTTAATTGCTATCGAACAGTGCGCACGTGGACCTTACATTCTCGCCTGCGATGTCTACTCTCTTACTACTGGATTACAGGAGATATATAATCTCATATAACCCAATTCTTTTCCATGCTTTCAGCCAAAATGCAGCTGGGCTAACAAGCAAGTCTGCACTCGGCGGCCATCTCAGGTCAATCCTGCACTAGCTTTCTTGATCTAGTGTGACATTGAGTGCAACGTCTACTCTAGCATGATCTAGGGTGAGACACACACTACAAATTAAATCTTGATACTCGAAGATTAAGCTCGCTGTTTATATAAACTGTGATATGAAAGGTGAAGTTTATTAAATACACCGACAATTCACTAGCTGTAAGAATTACATATCTAGTGTGACACAGAAATCTCGATGTTAATCAAACAAAAAACAAAAGGAAAAAAAGAACAGGAAGAGGAAAGAGTTTATTAACTGGATGATAATTATTGAAGTTCGCAGAAAGGTGAATTGAAAAGTTAAGAAAATTAAAAACGAAATGCGTTGAAAAATCATCTTTGAAAATATTAAATGAAATTCCGAACAGTTCCAAGGAGAATCGAACCCAAATTTAACTAGGCGGAAATCAGTAAGATTGAGCAAAACCAAGACTACCCATCTTTCCCCACGTATAAAAAAAGTGACCATCAATGTATCCTCGGAGATGTCAAATAGAAAAACATATTTTGTCGATGAGGAAAACCGGATGGTCACCGAAATAACATCTAAAAATGGTTTTGGACAAAGAGCCAGGAAAAAGATCTGGTTTGAATCGGCCACCCAGAGGAAAAATATCCCTACAAAAAAGAGATTAGCACCTAAAATAATTTTAATTTCTGTGACATTGGTCTAAATTTTTATGGCCGACATTATTTCGCATTCCTTTGGATACAAGTCATAGACAAAAATTAATTACTAGTCTTGTGTGAGCATAAGCGGCTGGCTGTGTGGCTAGGTCGATCGAGAAATCACCTAAAAACAATCAGCCTGAGACAAACTGATAAAGAAAGATTAATGACTGGAAATCCCTTTTCGCCTACGCATTCTGAAAATCTGGATTCGTCACAGGGACAGTGTGCCTTGGAGTAGACTGAAGTTAGATGCTGAGAAAGTGGGAGAAGGAGGAGAGAGTTTAGCACCACCTATATGGAGCGATGGTGTGTGATGAGATGTGAAGGCAGTTGCAATTAAGCGACGGCTTGATTCTTGTGGACACTCTCGAAAGGGGGCTGGGTAAACCCTAAATTTGGAAAATTACACGAGTAAACATATTTTGAAAATATGGAATTTTAGAAAATGTTGATGCTAAGGGTGGAAGATAACCAAACCCAAACCCTAGTCAGCCACATTCCTGTCGGATGCATGATTCCGCATAAGCTGGAGGTTTAGACAACTTGAAGAATCCCCACATTACTGCTACTCCGAGACCTCCTGACCAAGACCTTCTGCCGGCCCTGAAGATCAGAACTTAGAAATTTAAATTACTACTAACATAAGCTGCAAACTCCAAAAGGGGATCCCAGTGTCATTTGATTATAACAGTAGTGGGAAATGTTAAACCGTTGTATAGAAAAAAAATCATATATAAACTAAATCGTAGTTACATTTTTTAACCAGAATTAATTCTTTATTCCAAAGAATTCTTATTTTTTGTGTAGCACCTCGTAGTCTTTCGCTTCAGTTTACTTCATCAGCAATTTTCTTACCCTCTGAAAACACAAAATGGCAGAAGAAGAATCGCGAAAGAGATAAACGCCAGCTAGATCGAGTGAAACCGTACTCATCAACACGATACCAGCGACCAATCAGAAACGCGTAAGGGGTCAACTAGAAGGTAACCATGCGTAAGGGGCCAGCTAGAAGGTAACCACGGTGGTTGGAAGGAACTTGAAGACCGACGCGGGAGGTTGCGTTACATTATTGGTTGCCGTTGACTAGGATCAACACGGGACTATACTAGTATCACAGCGAATATAGCAGTGTTTTTTTGTTTGTTGTTTTTTTTTCTTTTTACTATAAAAGTGCACTATAGTTGATTTTGCTATGGAAATGCACGGCAGATTATTTTTAATAAAACTGTTTATGAATATACAATGTAATCTCTAATCTATGTATTCGTGAATGCTGGACAATTTCCGTACAGATGAATAAGTACAACAATACACATTGGAAAATATATTTAAAAGAGTCACACGTGAAAATTTCTTCATGATAACGTAGGGGTGAGGGCCCATACACGTACATTTAATCCAAGGACAAATTTGCCCACCATACACGTATAAAGTCTAAAGACAAATTTACTCAATCTCGCTACTACTGTCACATTGGTATTGGTATTCGCCAACGCCCCTTCTTTAGTGCAATGCAGAGGTCGAATACTCTGAACCAGGCTTGCCTCATAATTTAAAAAAGGAAGTGTAGTGTTGTATGCAAATGAGATAGACAACTATAAATAGAGAACAACTGGTAAGCATAAGGGCATTGCTTAGCAAACCCATTTGCTAAACGTAACGTGGAGAACTGTGCTACGATTGCTATTACACAGATATACCAAACATAACAATGATACAAGGCATACTAGAAAGAGTGACTCAAGATGGTAGCAACTGGGCATTACCAATAGTAGCGATAAAGAAACCTGACGGAGATTTAAGGATTTGTAGTGATTACAAGATAGGGGTAAATCACCAGATATGTTCAGACTCTTTTCCTTTGTCAAATATCGAAACTGCGACCCACGAGTTATTAAAAAAAATGGAACACATTGCAGAAAATTGATCTCAAGGTAGCATACAACCAAATAGAAATTGACGAGGAATTCAAGAAATCACCATCATAAACACCCCTATAGGTTCACTAAGATGGACTCGTCTACTGTTTAGGGTAAAGACTTTGAGCCATATTTTTCAGGAAAGACTAAAGTGATTCCAGAGCGAAGGTCGAGGATTGCGCACTGATCCTAAGTTGAATGCGACACTTTGGTTCTAAGCAGTGAAAAATCACGAGTTAACAGGTTTAAAAAAAAAAAAAAAAAAAAAAATTGAAATATTTTCTTTCATTGAAAATCTGAAACTCCTTTATTGAATAATCTCTTGTTCCATCATGAAATGTTATTTATCCTTTATGCAATAGATTTAAAATTGTTGGCGTTTTTGTAAATAATACGTCAGTACAGAAAGATGTATTTGTTATACATAAATACATGCATTTTCTACGGCAATTTCATTATCATTTGTAATTTTGTTTCAGGGTCACCTGCAATCATGTAATGCTATGCACGCGGACTATTTGTTCCAGAAAGATAAAAACTACGACATCTCTTATGATACCGGCGACAAAGCAATCCAATGTGGCAGACATAATGACATTTTCAAATTTTGGCTAATGTGGAGGGCGAAAGTAAGCGGACTTCTGGGCGACTCTTGTTAAAACATTTTCTTCTTTCATTAAAGTATTCATCAATAAAATGATTATTTTGCTTCTTCAATATTTTCAAGTTGTATCAAAGAGGCTTATTTATATTTTTTGTGTAGGGAAACACAGAACATTTCGCAGTTTAATGTAGACGCGAAGACATTTGGCAGCAACAAAGTTTACTGGCATTTTTTCTTCGCTGCTTAAAAGAAGTGTTATTTATCTTTTACGAAGGCAAATAGGATACAAGGTCGTTTTAATGCAGGATTCAATAAAGATGTCCAGGTTATCCTACGACTGATTTCACCTGAAAGACCTTCAAAAGGATTAACTACTCAAATTAGCTGTATATCCTTCTATTCTAAGGTCAACTCAAGCTTTCCTACAAACTCAAGGAGGTGACTTTGGTAATATCGTCTTGGAGTGGGAAACGATCCCCGTTTACGATACTGACAGAAAATGTCTGAAAATAATACGTAGGGTTGGCTAGGGTCCCGTGAGGGAAATTGGGTAGACAAAACTGTTTCTCACCTAATGGACAGATATGGTTAGCAGTCTGTTTACATTTGCCAGCATTCTGACTACATGGAGATGTATTGGCATTTAAAAAAAAAAAAACCTTATTCCTACAAAGAAAATCACATGTGTTCGCAATTTTTCGCAGGCAGACATAGGCAGACATAGCGAAACACACACACACACATGAACGCGTTTCATCCCTCGAGGAAATTTATTATTTACTTTGATAAAGAAAAGTTCTTTTGTCTTTTATTGTAATATATAATTTTTGCACTATAAAAGTACACATGTAATAAAATTCTTCATTTTAAGAGGCTGAAGATCCTTGCCAAAGAAAAGGTAGAGATTTCGAAATACATAGATTTATGTCATTGTGAGTTTTCACTTTATTCGAAATGTTGTTTGGAGAGAGAATGAATGGTCGAACTAAGGATTAAGTCTCCTTGTTTCAAATCGACTGACCATTCTCAACCCCTACAAAAATATAAGGTAGCTAGCGGAATCTCTTCACTCCCGCTGTTCACTGCGGCAACCTGATAGCTTTTTATCTTTGAAGTACGTTGTCATGATTAAAACCCCGTAATCTTGAAGTATATTTCAAACTTGATTTACTTTGCTTTCATTCAGCCATGTGTAAAACTTCTATGATGATACCAGCATAACTTGAATATATTACATTCTCCAAAGAATATATCACCAAGATACGCACTTATAATTGTGTCATTTCATTCCTTAAACGATGTTGTCATTGCCTGGATTTTAATACTGTATATTATTACCAACGTAAAAAAAATGATGTAAGGATGAATCGGAAATATGCTCGTTAAATTTTTAAAATCCTGTCAGCATAACATTTTTTTAATTTATTTTCTCGTTTCTAATGCAAGTCAATAGAAGAAAAATTATTGTAAAATTCTAAACACTATTTGATTTGTTTATATTTTTTAAGATATTAAACATGATCATTTGTTAATTGACGTATTTTTTATTTATAGGGAGAGAAAGGATTCGGAGACCATATTGACCGGATGTTCGAACTGGGAGAGTAAAGTATCTTTTATGTCATTTTGATATTTATAGTGAATTATGAAGAGATCTACAGTGGAACCTCTTTAATTCGTTACTGAAAGCCGTTCGTAACCCGAAATGTTCGTAAACCGAAACTATTTTCCCAATAGGAATCAATGTAGAGGAAAAAAAAGTCACAGTTCAATAAAATTGGAAAAGAAAAGCACAGCACAACACATGAATGTATACAACACGGCGGTCGACTAAGAAATGATTCCGTTCATGTTAACTTGGTTCGACTATGTTTTTCGAGAACCGAAATTTTGTTCGATAACCGAAGTATTTTCATCTCGAATTTTCTGTTTGAAAACCGATTTGTTCGACATGTGAGACGTTCGAGAACCGAGGTTGCACTGTAGTTTTATTCGAACTGGCCATAGTTACTGTAACTACGTTTTCTTGTAAATTACATCTCAACAGTTTTATAATATCAAAATCATGGGAAGAGCGAGAATCGAACGACATTATTTCACAGACCCTCACAGTTAGGACTCGCCATGCCACATCGAGCAGCTTCATCCCGCGAACCACTGCCCTGTGGAACCGACTCCCAACAGAATATTTCACCGATTACTACAATCTTAACTTGTTCAAGGCCAAAGTTAACCGTTATCTTCCACTTCTATACACACAAACGTAACCCTCTACCTCGAGTGGCTCCCGGGCCTCGTAAATGGTGAACCTTATTGTAATATATATATATATATACACTAAATCAACCCCTCCTCGTATCATCAATTGGGAAAAAGTTTTGTTTGTGTGTTCCTATCATGAACTTTGGATTTTTACAGATGACGAGCAATTTGAAAAATAAATAAAATCCTCCTTGGCAGAAAATCTGGGAGAATTACTAGATTGGCTACAAGTAACGGATTGGGATATATTTTGAATCCCAACGCTATTAAGTTTGGAAATGGCTGAAGCTGCCCAATCCTCACTTTCCAGACTCGATAAAGTTCAAACGCCTTGTGGGTGATGAATTACGATCCACCCTACAGCCCCTTTCCTCCCACAAGCGAAACGTTGCCCCCCCATGCTCTACCGCTATTTTTTATGGCAGATGTTCGGGTGATGAACGACAATCCTTGATTCTTCCAGTCTAGACCTTCACAGGTCTATGACTCGACAAGTCATATACATCGAGTCACCCCATTTTCATTTCATTCCTATTTCATTGATAAGGAGGTAGTTTCCCCTCAGACGGCTTATTCCTCAGAACAGTTACATTATGGAAAGGACTCTTAAGAGGATGCTTCCCCGATTACAACAATCTTTACCTCTTCAGGTCGAGGGTCAACGGTTGTATATGCTGCATATTTTCATAATATGCCCCTCTTGCTTTTTCTCTGTACGCTCTTATAACAATCTCATTTAGTAAAATTCCATTTTGGGGGCTCTTGGGCCTTGTATTGAGTGAAGAGTAGTAAAAATTAAAAAAAGGAGTCCCAGTTACCGTAATTTTAAATTTAGTAGCATTTGGCTTACAAGAGAAGAATGGACTAACCATAAATTCTAAGACAGTATATGGTTGTCAGCAAATGGAACAACTCAAGACACGAATTACGAATTGGAGACACTACAATCAAGCAAGTTCGAAAATTCCAATATCTAGGAAGTGGATTAACCCAGGACGAGAATTGCGACATCGAAATTCAAAAGGTGCATTAGGATCGCGAAAGATGCCTCCCAAAAGTTAAGCAAAGTATAAGCACAGGAAAAAAAATTTCATTAGAAACAAAAAAAAAGAAAAGAAAAAGAGTATTAGATTTATGTAATATTGGTCCTGCTATACGACAGGAAATGCTGGACAATCTCCTAACAGATGACGAAGAGTCTTGAGGTAGCAGAAATGTGGTTCTGCAGAAGAATGCTAATCATACTATGGACTGAACATTTAAGCAACGACGAAGTTTTAGAGAAAAAGGAAACGAAAAGGACACTTACACTTAGAATCAGAAAGATATTAAATTCATAGGATACATAATGAGGAAAGAGGGCTTGGAAAATTTAACACACACAGACCTGAGAAACAGAGGAAAGCAGAGTATAACCTACTTAACGAGCTTGTGTAAATGGATGGCAGAACAGAAATTAGGAGAGATAGCAAAAAGACAAACTGCTAAGAGTTCCAAAGGATAGGAAGTTGTGGAGAGCCATGACCGCCAACCCCCTGAAGGAGAGCCATGATCGCTCGCGTAACCAATCGGTGACTGATAATCGCTTCTAGATTGATCTTTATCATATTTGGATTTCTCAAAATCGAATTTTGTTTTTAATCGATTTTAACTCGCGGAAGTTGAGAAAATGGAAACAAAAAGTACACAGACTCAGGAAGAGACAGTTGAAATTTCTATGGATATATTGAGGAAAGACAGCTTGGACATTTTGATATTCAGAGGACAAATTGAAGGCAAGAGGGGAAAAACAATGAATAACCTACCGAGAAAGCTTGAGTGCATGGGTGGCAGAGCAAGGTTTAGGAGAGAACAAAAAAAAAAAAAAAATTTATTAAGCGCTACAAAGGACACGGAATTGTGGAGAGCCATGATCGCCTACGCCGTGAAGGGACACGGCATATAGAAGATGAACTATAAGAACTGACCACTTGCCGATACACTAGCCCTGCACATTTTGGTTAACTTTCACTATTTCAGAACTGCCTACGTAAACAAAAATCGTCAGTGAAGAGCATTTGTAAAGTTGCTCATAAACAACTTCATTTTACTTTTATTTTAATATCAGGGAGCGAGCGTGTGAGCAACGATGAGATCTTAAAGAGGTTGCAAACAAGGAGAAGGCTTATACTTAACATCAGGAAGAGGCAGCTGAAGTTTCTGGGACACATAATGAGGAAGCAGGGCCTGGAGAATTTGATACTCACGGGTCGAATAGAGGGAAAGAGGGACAATGGAAAACAACGCATGAAAAACCTGGCAAATGGATGAGAGAACGTGGTCTGGGGGAGGTGGTAGAGGGAAAGGACTTGATGAGAGTTGTAAGGGATTGAGGGAGGTGGAGAGCCATGATCGCCTACGTCCTGAAAGGACATGGCACATAAAAAGAAAGAAATCTTTTTGGCATGCCAATCCTGTTAGCAGCTTAGATACTTGTTTGAAAAATAATAGTGGCAATATCCACATCTGATAGTTTGTGATAGATTGATTTTTTTTTTTTATGGCTTAACACCATTTGTGTTTTATTTAAAGCCGAAATGTATTTCGAATTGTAAGGGGTCGCTTAGAGTATTGACCGGGGTTGACGCTGCTTAACTTCGGTTATCGAACAAGAACCGATGTTTTCAGTGTAATTTAGCCGTAGGCCCACATATTTTTAAATCTATTTCATCCCATGCAAGGCAATAAAGACACTAAGACACAAGGGGTTACTGGGTGGGGAAGAAGAAGAAACAGAATCATTATTAATGAGTGGGAGCAAAAAGAGTAATCAGGACAGTAGATAGCGATTGACATCGCATTAACATTTTTGAAGATTAAAGCATGGAGCCGGAAGAGAGTTCCACAAACGAGAAAATAAATTGTTAGCATAGAATTTATGGTTACATCTAACCAGTTTAACTGTAAATTGATGAGATCTCGACGCCAATCTATTTCTGTGCTTAAATTCATAAAATCTAGGTATCATAGCGAAGAGCTCACCCGAAAAATTACCATGAAAATATTTATAGAAGAGATACAGGGTGGTAACCTTACAGCGGTGGTTAAATAAATGACTGAAGCCGAGCCGCCAGATCAGGACTGGTAATATTGCTGGTTCTTCTTTGATTTTGTCAAGGATCTCAAGGTAAATAGCAGGAGTACTGGACCATATTTAGCAGCAATATTCTAAGCATGGACGAATGGTAGACTTATGTATATATGCAAGATAGATTCCAGAGAGAAAAATCGTCTCGCACGATACAGTGAACTGACTTTCTTAGCAGCTGACCTAGCAATGGATTCAATTTCCACTTTGTGTCAGCTTAGAATGTTAGTCCGAGAAGGCGCAACGAGTCACTTTCCTGGAGGTTAGCATCATCCATACTGATGGAAAGCAGAGAAGAGTCTCAAATGACTAACGGCGAGAAGTTTAGTTTTGAGGCGTTAAATTTAACAAGTCATCTTTTGCTCCACTTAACAACATCTAAGAGAACCAATCGGAGTGTCAGGCCCACAAAAAAAATGAAGCCATAAGATTTTCCTAATTCTTAAAATGGAGCAGTACTCAACTGAATATGCTTTCAAGTTATCTTCAGAACATAGGCAATCATTGCTCTCCACAATTTTCCATCCCTCATGTTCTTTAGCAGCAGCATTTCTCCCTTTGCCTAGCCTCTCGCCTCGCCATCCTTTCATAAAAGTTTGTTAGGGAGGTGACACGCTGTCTTTCCTTCTCTCTTCTCCTCAAAATGCCCTGTAAGAGTTAAGTTTTCCAAGCCCTCCTTCCCCATCATGTGTCCAAGTCATTTCAGCTGTCTTTCTGTGTATTAGGGTTATTTTTGTTTATGACTTTCTCGTTGCTTACACGCTTCATCCGTGGAATTCTCAGTATCCTTTTATAGAACCATAAAAAGACAAAAATTTTCGGGACGCATGATGAGGAAAGAGAGCCTGGAGGACTTAACACTCGCAAGTCATACTAAAAGCAAGACAAGCAGCGGGGGACAGTGAGTAACCTACTTAACAAGTTTGTGTAAATGGATGATAGAACAAAGATAAGCGATTGTAAAAAAAACAAAAAGTTACTTAAACGACAAGAACATGTAAAGAGCCATGACCGTCTACATTCTTAAAAAAAAAAAAAAAAAATCATAGCGCGTAAAAGATTCTACTTTTTGAGAGTCGACTTCATGACTAGCTGACGAACTGCAACTCTGTAGGTTTCGTAGTTATATGATCATTAAAGAGGTTTCCACTTGAAGTTACACTGAAAATTAGTTTGAATTCTCATCATCAGCAATTTTGTCATTTTCTCTAATCAGTCCTCTACAAACCTGGCTAAAATGTTACAGATTTTCTAGCCTTTTCAAAATGTTAATGGGGATTATAGAATTTTATTGATAGTTCTTTTAATGTCATTGTTCAATGTGTATACTAATGTTGTTCATTCAACGTCTAAGGATGTTATTCATCCATTTGGTATTCATGACAAAAACATTTCTATAATATTTACTGTTTCCAAATGTATTTGTGCTCTATGAAATTTCAGTGAGTTCCTTTCATGTCATTGTTGAATGTGTATACTATGTTTTTTGGAGACTCATTCCACTTAATATTAATTCTATGTATTTTAACTACCTTCATTCTTCGTCAATGCTTATTGTTTTAAAAGGCAATGATTAGAATTGTAATAAAACCTAAACTTATGAAAGTGAATATATATATTTTCTTTGTTCTTGAGAATTAACAAAAATAAACAATTTATTAGATTGTTTATTGGTATGGTCGGCAAAATATTGGCTAATTGCCAATTGATTGTAACTTCATGAAATGGTAAATAAGGATTTACTTACAGTTGGTCCACATATTTTAATAATTTATTAAATGTTTATAAATTAATGAATAAAAAATTGTTTACATATTTCTTTATAAATTACTGAATGATAAATTGCATTAGTTGTAGGTATGCCCACTAATTCGCTGAAAAACAGCATAGCTTCATGAAAAAAAAGGCTTCAAACTTAAAAAAGAAGTTTCAAATTTTCTTCTACAAGAGTCGCCTGAAAAGTTCATAGGCTGATATAAATGCAATTACACACCAGCTGGCACGCTAAAAGACATTCAAGTGTACCGGAATACAGTAGCTGGTCGGCGAGCTGTTGTATGTCTTAGCCTACCAACTGGTGTATCTACTTACATTTATATCTTCGTCACCTTGTGAACTTTTCAGCTGACCCTCGTATGTGCCTTATCCCTTCAGAACTTAGCCGAGCATTGCTCTCCACAGCTTCCTATCTTTTGTTGCTATTGGTAAGATTTGTTTTTTCGTTATCCCTCTCAATCTCTGTTCTGTTTGTTACTGTTGCATCGTGAGCGTCAAATCCTCAAACACCCTTCATTATGTGTGCTAGAAATTTAAAACGTTGCTTTCTGATTTTATAGACAAAAGTATTTTTTATCAATTTATTAAATTTTTTCATTCTTTCTAGTTCGTTCAAAATTTTGGTTAAATTTTTTTTTTTTTTACGTCAGCGTAATATTTACCATTAATTTTTCAACACCTTTTTTTCAAGCGAAAAACACATTGATTTGGAAATTCTTGCAAAAATCAAATAATTGTCGGATTTTAATGAAAATTTCAGAACTCATTCACAAATGAATGAAATTATTTTAGACATGTTTCTATTTTTAGAAAGTCATGGTAAAAATATTTTTTTGCATTTGTTACCCCCGCCACTTACTTAATTTTATGAAAATTAGAGATATTCGACGGCGTGTGCTTTAGGGATTATATTAGTTAAAAGCAGAAGACTATGAAGAAAATAAATCGATTTTTTTTTGTAAAACCGAAAAAAAAAAAAAAAAAAAAAAAAAACAGCTACTCAAAATTCAGCTTTAAATTGTAAAATACAAAACTGAATAAAAGCAAGACCTTATTTAATAAGAAAAGCCTTTAATGGCTCTTATGAATAATATATGTTAAGGACAATATTGTCTGAAGCCAAAATATTTTTCCGATGAAAAATGAATTTTTACAAGAAATTTTGTTTTTCAATTTTAAATACAAAATGTGATAAAAGTGTTAAATATTTTAAAATTAAGTTTCAATCCATGCCCTTTAGGGAATCCTGTTATTAAGTAGATCTATTTTTACAGATTATAAATTTGAAAGCTTATTACAAACTGCGATTCAGAGGTATTTTAAAAATATTTTGAGTATACAAAAAAAAAAAAAGTTTTAAAAACATTTTTTCCAAAAATATAGATGGACGTTTGAGGCATAAATGTCATGTGTTTTAAGAGCTGTTACTCCTGGCAGCAAGAAGCTGTCCTCAGAATTTTTTTATTTTCCTTCTCGCGAGCATGTGTTAAATTATTTGACTGACCATCATTGTGGCATTTTCAAAATTTTCTTTTTTTACATCCTATTTCACTAAATATTTTAATTTGATTTTTTAAATTATAATTAATTTATTCTTTTTCAGTTAGAGACGTATTGCAATTACTAATAATTTTCTTCTTTTTTAGTTTCAATTTAGGGACAGAAACAGTGCAGACTTTGGACATATCTTCGTTAAAAAAGTACCAACAAAAAAATCAATATTAAACTTTTGAAAGTATTTATTTTTTTAAATTACTATGTAATTAAATAAATTGGTTTACTTAAAATTCGAAAATATTGTCACTTCTGTCCTTCCGTCCGATAAATTCCCTTCACGTAAGCTGTCGATACATTGTGGTTTCAATTTTAGGGACGGAAACAGTGTAGGCTTTGGATATATCTTTGTTAAAAAAGTACCTTAAAAAATAAATAAAATAATATAGACTAAAGGTATAATTGATTTTTTACACGATTTTGAACGGAGAATTTAACTTTTGTTTACATATTTAAAAAAAAAATGGCGGATATCGATTTTGCTGACTGAAAAAAAAAAAAATTTTTTACTAAAATTTAGAAAGGGCTAATAAGGATTAAAAAAAAGTGTAAAAAAATAATCAAAAAATACTTTGGTCTTCCTCTTAATAATAAATATTTAGACGATAAAAAAAATTTCATCAAGTTTGGGGCCTTTTTATTTCAGGGTATGCTCCCTTTTAGCGAATTAGTGGAGAGACCTACATTTGTTGTAATTTCATTCATTTTTAGAATGTTGTAAATATAAAATTATTCTTGCCAATAATAAATAAATAGCGTTTCTCAAGAATAAAAAAATGTATAAAAATTCAATTTCATCATATGTTTAGTTTTTATTACAATTTTAATCATCGCTTTTTAAAACAATAAACATTGCCGAAAACTAAGAGTTAAGCTTAAGATAAAAGCGGTGTCGTGGTAAAAGCCGTCGTTTTGACACCATTTTTTGTGGAATTTTAATGGAAAAAAGAAAATTAAAAACTTTACTTCCCAAAGACGACAGCAAGTAAAACTCAATAACTAATATTATGTAATATGTAGTTTGTTCTTAAGGAGGATAGTTATCCTCAAAGGACATGATAACAAACATTAATAATGCTCAGTTGAGGAAGAAAATGTACGTCAGCCTGGTTGAAAATATTTTCATTTTTTTTATTGCAGATATCTTCGAAGTTTAATAAAAGGACGAGAAGGTTTCAAGTTTGTTTTGGAAAAGGTAATCAAAAATCTCAATTCTGTCATTTTTATATCCGCCTTGTATAGTCAGTAAACAACAAAATTGTTGGAACACACACATACATACGCTATGCTAAAATACACAGGCAGATTTCTGCTAACTTGTCTGTCTGGTGAAACTTGCTTGTTCGTTTATATAAACAATCCAGAGAATAATGATACATTATTATTTTTCTTCAAATAAAATCTCAAGTTGGAGATAAAATTAAGGGGTATCAAAACGACAATCGGCCCATTGTTGTCATTTCACCAATTTTTGATGACCATAGCACTAATTACGCTTTAAATGTTTTATCACTTCGTTATTACCATATTATAGGGTTTGTTGCCTATCGAATGTATCGTTATCACAAAGCTTACAATGCAGATCTATCTTTAAATATAGACAAAAATTTTAAAAGTTGCACGACCCCAACATAGCTTACTTTAAAAAAAAAATCATATTCTCAATCTTTCTCTGTCAATCTTTTGTTTGAGAAAACTTCAGATTATATATATATATATAATTTAAGTTATGAACAACTTGGTAATCCGTGTGGGTAATCCCAAGGAGGATGAATCCTGAGAGCTCAATGTAAATCCAGAGCTAATATTTTAAAGAAAAACAGACCACTTTAAGGTACCATTATAATAATTTATTTCACCAGAGCCCTTTTAAAGGACGCCGGATCATCAGATAGCACTTCCCCCCCCAAAAAAAAATATGCAACACGCTGACGCATGTTGAAATCCTCACAGTATTTAGTATTGTTGAATTTATCGTTAACATTTTTGTCGAAATTTACAAATTCTACGTTTCGTTCAAATTCGCAAACCAATCGATGACATTGGAATAAGCCGATTTGTTTGGAAAAATACTTTGACAAAAACCCTACTTCGCGATTTAATAATTTCTTTAATCTAATTTTATAGGACTTCATGGTAAACAATATTTTTAAGAAGATTTCTTTTTTTCCTTATTAACAGCGAAGAATAAACTCTTGGGATTTCGTACTCTTGAGCATGCAACATACAACTGGCAATGCATAAATATTTCTTCCTGGAGCCAAATTCCAACTTCTTTAAGAATTTGGTTTTGTGATTTGTTTATAGTTCTCGCTAACGCAGGAAACTGGATTCTTGTATATATAAAAACTTAAAAATATGTGCAAAAAATATTGCATTTTGATTAAATAAGTATTTGTTATTATAATCATTAAATTGTTTTAAAATAGACTATTTTTATGTTACATTACCGGTTTACACTTTTCTCCAAAATTTGGTTCCGATCGGTCAATGTATGGCTATTTTAGAGGGTCTGAGGGAAGACATAAAATTTTATAGATAGCTAGATTTAATATGGCATGTGCTGTAAGAGTAGTGCAGACCTACAATTTTTGAGCCCTGAACCTTGACCTATCATAACGTGCCCTTTCGCAACCAGAAATAAAAAAAAACTCATCCACGAAGGTCCAAATGGTCTTGCTACCCTTGAAAAGACTTCAAGTCTTAAATACCGGAGAACTGAGTAGTAGAGTGGATTGTTTGAAAATGGGCCACATAGTGAGCCACTTTCCCGTCAACAACAACGTCTAGGTATCCGCTGTTAATTTTTATAATGTGTTTGTTCTGGGGCAAATGAACACAAGCAGTAAAGGTCATCAAAGGGGCTCGTTGGGGTAAAGAAACAAAAATCTGACGAGTGAAACCTATATTACGAATTCAAATGTATTTTTATTTGTAGCCTAATGATTGAGGCTATAAAAGTATTAAGATCTGCACCAACAAATTTTGAAGGATTCGACCGACAAAATGGAGGCTGTGAATAGATTCTGGGATCAAGCACTGCAAGCTACCGAGAAAATCTTGAAGCTGACCATTTAGAGGGACATTTTAAAGCCATATTAAATGTGCATTAGAGTAGATTTTAAGGTAAATATGTACTTCAAGCAATTGACGTATGATTCTATCACTAATATAGGTTTATTTTAATAACAAAAATTTCCATCGATTTTGTTGGAAAATTCACTCATTAAGCGCAATTAAAATTACTTATTTTGGATATAACTTTGGCTATATTATCGTTCTCGTTGAAAACTTGTGCAAACTGTTTACGGTTATATTACAAACTATTTCTGTATCCATCACATTTTCTTTCCTCTTCAGTAGATTTCTTTTTAAGTTCTCTAAAAGACTTCTTACCTTGCAGGGTGAATGCACAAACGTTTGTTTCTGGTATATCCCAGCGAGACTGAGAGATATGCCAGAAGGTCACGAGAAGAATGCCGAATTACACAAGGTAAGGCCAATTATTGAAGAACTATTCTTTGCTACAAGAAGTATCCCTTTTCGAACTTGTATGGCAATATATTCAAGTTTACACGTCTCTATAAAGTAATATTTAGGAGTTGCCGATGAAGGCTATTTGAACACTGAATATAGAATATGTAAGCGAATGTTAGGAGTTAGCGAAATAATAACGTATAGTCCATACATGCGAATCTTATATACAGAGTACGATGGATAATTTGCCGTCTAAATTACGCAAAAATAGGCGGGACACGCGATGTCAAATACGACACGCTAGGCGGGACATGTGGTATTCAGATAATCCTCATTAACACCAAACTGTGATGAATATCCTGTTTTAATTACCAGTGTTCCGAAATTTCTATAATTTTTTCTTTGTCAAAAATGGCTAACTGCTTGAGAATGTAAATATAAAATTTCTTATTTTAATGAAAGAAATCGTTAGCAATATTTCTTTGTAAAATTACAAAATCTGGCACAAAAATCAATGAGCAGATTTAAAAATCTGCTTGAGTAAAAGATGCGGTAAAAGTTAACATAAAAGTAAATACTGGTAAAAAAAAATGTTGACGTCATTCTGGGGTCTTTTGTTTTTCGTCCAAATCCGGGAATTTGTTTTGCTCAACCCAAGTCTCGATAACAAAAAAAAAAAAAAAAAATACATAAAAATTCACTATTTTTTATCCATAATGTTGAATTTTTTAAATTATTCAACTTTTTAACAAGAAAAGTCTCAGGTTGATTTTAAAAATTGCCGAAAAAACAAAAAACAAAAAAAAACAAAAAAAAACACATTGATTTTTAAGATGGCATGATGACATCTCTCTAGTTAGTATTTAAATACGTTTTCAATTTCTCTACTTGAATTGTTCAACTATATTGTATATGATCCATTATTGTACATAATTAGATTACAATAAAAAACACTTCCTTTCTTTTACCGCCCAAATCAGTGTGACAAAATAATTAGTGTTCCCTTGGCCACTAGAGAAGGCAGTAGGGCTTTTCATTCCTAAGACATCAGACGTGGAAATTTGACTATGACAAAAAAAAAGTGTCAGAATCTCATTACTGATTACGCAATTTAATCCTCAAAAGAATTCGAGACTGATACATTCATGTAAGTTAAATAAAAGAAAAAAAATGCATAATGCAAACAAGTACTAAAAACATTTATGTACTACTGTCACATATCACAATTTAACACAGCAAACGAAATTCGTATTTACGTTTATTACCAACACATAATTACATGAAAAGAGAACATCTCACTCAACTCAATATACTGTTGAGTTTTCTGTTACATCTTTTTCCTCGCAATTCATTATTTTCAGCATTAATCTGGGAGGTCCCTCTGCTACAATTTGGAGTTAGATAGTTACAGTAACTGGTTACACACTTTTTTCTTTTATTACTACAACCAAAATTCCACACTCCTAATACTAATACCCTCTCATTTGTAGCGTTGGTGACATACCCTCCCAATTGCTTCACTCTCTACAGAAGTTCTGGTACTCTTATTTACAAATCATGTGAGGAGGAGAATAAAACATATGTTACAATCAAAAAAATACTCACCGTTATTTGAAAATGACAAAATAATATTACAAAAAATTATCATGAAAAGAAAGCGTTAATAAGTGACTTTCTTATTAGTAAGCGTTAATAAGTGACTTTCTCATAGTCCCGTTGTAACTCCAGTATTACTTTAGGAAACATTTGGCTGTAATAAAAATTCACGTTTTTTTTAATTTATGAATTATCCAGGTGTTTATAATTATAATATCATATTTGATAACATAAGATCTATTTCACCAGGGAATATTAAGAAAAATATTGTTTGGCCATATTCTTCTTAACGATACAGTTGTTCAACAGGACCCACGAAAACCACATCCCTCCTCTTACTTCTACTGAAACAATAGACGAACATGTGGCAATAAAGATGGACGATCATTGATAGTCAATTAAAAATTTTAAATTGTTCATTCCTCACGTATCTTCCCGACCACATCATCTTTTCTACAAGGCCATTGGGTCAAAGCTGAATAGTCTCCATTTGGTATACGAGAGATACAAGATCAGTCTCACATATGTCTCAAACTAAACTTAAGGGGAGTTATAAACAGCGTGATGTCTTGATGTTCGTGGACGTAATCAACATGAAAGAAGTTAACATTTTTCGTGACTGCTTATGAACCTGTAATATTGTTTATCTGAATTACCTTTTCACACCGTTCTCAATATATGTTTGAGTCTGTTTGTTACTGTCTTTGTCTACACGAAACTCGTCAATAATAGAGCACCATGTTCTTTATTTGGCCCTGTTTAAAATAAATTTATAAATTCTAATATCTGTGGTAAGTGAGGTTGACTGTCTTATGATATCAAATACAGTAAATAAAATTATCGCTTGTATATTTTTTCAGTAAGATAATGTTGAAAGAAAAAAAAATGGCTTTAAATACCTGTTGACGAAATTTCTCCTATTGTTGGAATTAATGGTCTCTGCGATTCTTCTCTTTAAAAATCCGTTTTGTCGGCACTAATTTGTTAATTCTCACGTTTTTATCATTTAAGATAAAAACGTTTTCGTTTGGATTTATTTATTTTACTTTATACACTAGGTGGCGAGTCGAATTAAAGCAAGTATGCTGGAGAGCGGTACTCTGATGGTCGGATATCAACCAATGGGAAAGCTACCAAACTTCTTCAGGGTCGTGATTTCTAATCCAGCTGTTATGCCATCTGATCTTGATTTTCTGGTGAATGAAATTGATCGCTTAGGTCAATTACTTTGAATGTTTATTGCATAGAGGTTTCAACCCGACCGACTTTACGGCTCAGTCCTCGAATAGTGAGGTAAGCAAGTCCATTTTTTTACTTATTGATAACAGCTTATTTTGAGTTTTTTTTTTCTGAATTGAAAAAGAAAAGAAGCCTATTGCAAAGTCACATTTATGAAAATCACTATTCAGGGGATGCGAGATCAGTACATTTTTTATGCTATGTTAGTCACATCTAATAATATGAAACTAAATTGTTCATGTGCAAAAAATAAATAAAATGATTTTTCTAAGCGTAGCTTAGGTATGACGCAAGCATAAAGCACCCACTGAGGATCGAACTCACTGCTCAGCTGTAATAGATCTTGATACGTCAAAGTGCCCAATATTTCTATAATAAATGTTTATATTCTAGATGTTCAATACTTCACTAAAAAGGAGTATACCCTGATGAAAAAAGGCCCCAAACTTGATCAAACAATTTTTATCGTCTAAATGTTTGTTATTATTAAGAGGAGAAACCAAAGAATTTTTGAATATTTAAAAAAAAATTTAATCCTTTCTAGCACGTTCGAAATTTTAAATAAAAATCTTGTTTTTTTTTTCTTTTTGAGACATCAGAATTTACATAAAATTAATCATGTTAGCCATTTTTGACAATTTTGTAAACAAAGGTGAAATTCTCCGTTTAAAAATCTTGTAAAATTCAATTATACTTTTTCAAGTTATTTTAGGAAAATTAGAAAATTTAAAGTATACTTAATGTAATTGGAAACAAATTCAATTTTAAGTGAACCAGCTTATTTAACTATAAAGTAATTCTTAAAAATTAAATACTTTCAAAAGTCTAATATTTTATTGATTTTTTAGGTCCTTTTTTTAACGAAGATATGTCCAAAGCCTGTACTGTTTCTGTCCCTAAAATTGAATCTAAAAAAGAAAAAAATTAATAATTGCGGTATGACTCTCATTGAAAAAGAAAAAATGATTATATTTAAAAAAATGGAAAGAAAATATTTAGCGAAATATCTTTAAAAAAAAAAAAGAAAATTAAAAATTTTGAAAATTCGACGATGATAGTCAGTCAATTTGATACGTGCTAGCCAGAACGAAATCAACGCAATTTATGAGGCCGGATCCTCGCTATCAGGAGAAACAACTCTTAAAACACGGGACATTATTTCTGAATTGTGCCTCCGTAGTTTTTCCCGGAAACGTTTTTAATACATTTTTGGCATATTAAAAAATTATTTTAAAAATAGAAACGCTTCGCAGATTGTAATAAGCTTTCAAATCTAAGATCTGTAAAAATAGTTCTAGTTAATAAGAGCATTTCCAAAGATGCACATATTCAAACTTAATTTTAAAATATTTAACAACTTTATCACATTTTGTATTTAAAATTGAAAAAAATAAAAAAGTTCTTGTAAAAATTCATTTTTCATCGAAAAAATATTTTGGCTTCAGACAATAAAGGCCTTAACATATATTATTCATAAAAGCTTTTTTTTAAATTAAATAATATCTTAGTTTAATTGAGTTTTGTATTTTACAATTCAGAGCTAAAGTTTGGGTAAAAATGCTCCTTGATTTACAAGAAAAATCTATGATTTATATTCTTCAAAGTCTTCTGCATTTTTAATTAAAAAATCACAAAAATACACATCAAGAGTTTTCATAAAATTAAGTAGGGTAATTGATGTAAAAAGTATTTGTATCATGACTTTCTAAAAAACATACATTTTTAAAATAATTCCATTCATTTTTTAACAAGTTCTGAAAGTTTCATTAAAATGATTTTTGCAAGAATTTCCAAATTAATGTGTTTTTCAACTGAAAAAGTGCTAAGAAAACTGATGCTAAATATTACGCGACCGCTGACTTAAAAATAACACGATTTTCAACCAAAATTTCAAACGTACTATAAAGGAATTTTTTTTTTAAATTAAAAATACTTTGCTTTGGTCTTTCTTCTTATTAATAACATACACTTTTTCACATAAAACTTTGTTTTTATTAAGTTTGGGGCCTTTTTTCATCATGCTATACTGTTTTTTTTTTTTTGTTTTTTTTTTTTTCGGCGAATTATTGAACATAACTACACTAAGTCGGTATAAATTTTCGATACCCAAGATTTGAAATTAATTTTTAAAAATGAAAACGCATTCTTGAAGATTTCTTTTTAGCTTTAATTGAAAGGTAAATGATTAAATTGACCATTTCCAGTAGGCAAAATACCCTGGTGTATTTCAACTAGAATTTATATAGATTGGAATGTCAAATATTTGCTCGATTTCAAAAAATCTATTTACTGGCGGCCATTTCTTACATTTTAACAAGTTGTAAAATAAAATTTACTTATCGATTTTAAAACCTTCCAAAAATAATATATATATCTGTGACACATTATTTGAGTAAAATTAGCAAATTTAAATTAATCTGATTTGAAACAAATATTACTTACTTATAGCATAAAAGAATAGTATACAGGCATTTTTTAACGACGGGTCCTGTTTTTTCTTTTGTTTTTATTGACGTATCGATAAGCTCCGAGGTGTTGACAACTAGTATGGATGAACAGTATTCACATAAATTTACGAAATCTAAGTGAACTTTTTTTTTGGGGGGGTTAACTATCTAGTAATTTTTACAAATTAACATATTTTCAGCAATTATCTAATATTTTATTGTCTTTTAGTTACGTTTGAAGATTCTTTATGAAAACATAAAATTTAAAATACTACAAAATTTTCTTAGATTAATTTTTAAAATGTGATAACGGAGATGAAATACCATGATAGAGGTAACTTAATAATTTATGCTCCACACTAAAATAAATACATAAAATAAAAAATATTTTGTGAAATAGAAATTAAAAAAGTAAAACGTACTTTAAACTTGAAAGTTTTAAAACTGAAAGGATGATGTTCAAAACTTGTTGAAACATAAGCAATGAACAACGAATTAGAGACGCAAGCGAACTTCTGTGAAAAGAGGACAACTCTTAGAGCACATGACTTTTTCATAATAATGTTACTTAGACTACCATAGAGGAAAATGGGAATACAGTACTTAAAGTAACAAAAAAAAAAATAGTAATTTAAGAATATTGATGCAAAAACACTTATATTAAGCTTTTCAATTTTTGATTCGTAAATATAGTTTCAACTTACAATATCATCTGAAAGAAATACGGTGTGGGGAACTTTTAAACGATTTTTAAATTATGATAAATTATTTAAAATTTTAAAAAAATGAAAAAATTCTTGTAAAAATTCATTATTCTTCGAAAAATGTTTTCTTAAAAGAAAATGTTAACTCATTTACAAAACTAAAAGCTATTAGGTTTTGTAATGAAATAATGTCATACAGGTTTTAGTTTACCTTTCGGAGCAGATTTACAGAAATCGAGCAAGGTTTGAAAAAAAATTGGGTGATACATTCTCGAAGGAGTCCTACTTTTAACTAATAAAAAAAAATTTGACATACGATTTAATTTCTCGAAATTTCATGAAATTAAGTTAGTGGGGTGTAACATATGTAAAAAAATATATACATATACATATATTTTTATAAACATTTTCTAAAATTTCAAAAATAATTTCATTTGTGAATAAGTTCTGAAAGTTTCATTAAAATCCGACAATTATTTGATTTTTGCAAGAATTTCCAAATCAATGTGTTTTTCATCGGAAAAAATGCACAAAAACACTTTATTGTAAAAATTACTTACGTCGCAGACGTAAAAAAAACAAAAAAAACAGAATTTTTAAACAAAATTTCGAACGTGTTAGAAAGATTTAAAAAATTTTTAAATATTTAAAATATACTTTGGTCTGTCCTCTTAATTAAACATTTTGACGATAAAACTTTGTTTTTATCAAGTTTTGACCTTTTTTCATCATGCTAAGCAGTTTTTTAGCGAAAAGCGGACGTGCCAAGTTTATTCACTTCTGGGTTCTGTTAACGTATTCCAAATTGAGAGTATTTGGTTTCAAGCCTTTCTTTTGTAGTGACTTAAATTCCATGTCCAAGGAACTCATCTTTCATAGGCAAAGCTTTAAATAATTTGACTGCAGAAGCCCATGAGTCGATGGAGCACAACACACTTCTCTATTCCAAATCATTGTCTTGTTTGTATGCAGCAATCGCTTTACTCTAATATTTTTTTTACTGTTTTTCATCACATACAAAGCCCAGGAGCAAGTCAAAGTAAAAGGTTACTAAATAAATTTGTTGCCCAGGTGTCAAAGGAATAGAACTTCTTGATTTGGAAAGCCTCATGTCTCAGTGGGTAGCCCAGACACCATGGTAAGTTTGCTTGTTTGAGAGAAAGAGTGTCACAAAGGCTACATGAAAATTCTGATGGTCTGGAGAATGGAACTGGCAAATCATGTTCAAACACTGGTTGGGACAGTTTGTATTCACTTTGCACTAAAGGCATGAATCCATTTTTCCTGTAGATATGGGTAAATAGTAGGGTAGTTCAGACATGAAAGGCAATCCAACTGGAGTATTGAGACACATAAAAATTCACTTTTTACTGAATCTTTATTTCATAAGAAGTATGCAGGAATTTACAAAATATGAAATTTGTGTGGTTCTGATCTTATTTTATGACTAATTAAAAAATAGGTTGCTAAGTGAATTACAAAGTGTTTTTTTTTTTTTTTATCAATTTACCCCAAGAAAGGCAATAATGCTACTATGGCACAAGGGACTACTTAAAGTGAAAGAGAATGAAAAGACTTCAGAAGGAACCAGAAACCTAATCCTAAACAGGAAACAAGGGATAAACCCTTGAGCCTTGTACTGGATAAACATTAGTGTAAAAAAAAAAAAAGAAGACAAAACATGTACATGATAATGCCGTCAATTAGTTAAGATCAGAAACTATGAGAGCCATATCTGGTGTAGAATAAGGGTATTTGTTAATATTATTAAAAATTTGTTTGAAATAATTTCCAGTTGTTCTTCTTGATGTACCATATCATGGCTCTCTACAAATTCCTGTCCCTTGTAGCTTTAAAATAAACTTTGCCTTTCTGTTATTTCTCCTAAACTCTATTCTACCATCCATTTATTCAAGCTCACTAATTCTCTTGTGTATTGCTTCCCTCTGTCTCTTTTGCCCTCTATCTGTTCTGTATCAGATTTGTGACTATTTTTTAAGCTAATTTTAAGGGGGTCACATCATGCACAAGATATAAAATTAGCATATGTACTGCTGGCCCTTGCTATGCTGTTGACCAAACTATATATTCATTTACTGTAGTCAAATTAGCTTCAAAATTAGGTCTTCAAAGGTTGCACAATACACAAGTCTATAAAGTAAATTGTAATTGATTTCCAGTAATGCTGCTTTCTTTTAGGAATGATTAATTGATTGATTTGGTTTATGACTTAACCCTTTCTAGGATATTTAAAGCTGTAAAATATTATTCAACTAGCTTAAAAGCCACCCTATCGAGCAACATTTAAGCTATCTCCTGTGGAGGGCTCTAGATTGGGCCTTCATTGCAATAGGGAGGGAGGAGTATATGCGATAGGCAACAATAAACTACAGAAGAACTCAAAACTGATTGCTGCATTTAAGTATTGCATTAATATTCAAGCTTGTCTTTTAAAAGTTCAAAGATAATTCTTTTTATTTTAAAGACAATTTAATGTACATATGTCCTTTCTGTCCATACAAACAATTATTTTTATTTCATTGGTGACTTTCACTGGATTTCATAATTAATTTCAATTATTCTCAAATTTATTTCCAAGTTATAAAAATCGTTATCATACAAAAAATCTGTTGCAAAAAAAACACGTAAAAAAAATCCCTCAAAACAATCACAGTAATGAAAACTTGGGAATCCCAAATTTCAGGATTGTGGGTCCAGATCCAGCCCAGAATGTTTTTAATTTGTTCATGGAGATGGTCTTTTTCCAAAATGGTATGATATGTTGGGTTACAGCCTCTAGAGTAAAGTTGAAAAAGTGTGACACAATAACATTTGCATTTATTATATAGATTGTATAAGAATAAATCTTTCTTTCTTCCTTCCTTCTTTTTTTTTTTGTGACTAAACATTGTATTAACAATTTATGGGGGATAATAATGAATTATATAACACTAATTTTTCCAGATACGACTTGCATAAAAATAAATTGTAATAAACATTTTTGATTAAAATTGATTGTAGTACTTTTTGCATGAGATAAATTGTCAACTTATATTCTATTATAAAGTCCAATCTCCTTTGCAAACTTCCAAATCTTGCTTGGTTAGGGATTTTCAAACAGTTGTTTTAGGTTAGTTGCTATGTACTACGAGGCTTATGTTTGTTCACTATAGATTATCAATACATACAGAATCATGAATGGTTCCTGACATGGTATCCACAATGATGATTGTGTGTTCTACATGGATTTTCGGAATGATAAATGTTATAAACTCATGTAGAAAAAACATTCATGGTTTGAAAAGCATTGATCCTGTCTTTTGAAAATTTTCTCTTATTAAATGGTTCAGTCTTATTAAATGTATCTTATAAACTGAGCCTTTCTTACTAAATAACTCTCTCTCTCTCTCTTATTAATTGATCCAGTCTTATTAAATATCTCTCTTATTAATTGATCCAGTCTTATTAAATATCTCTCTTATTAATTGATCCAGTCTTATTAAATATCTCTCTTATTAATTGATCCAGTCTTATTAAATATCTCTCTTATTAATTGATCCAGTCTTATAAAATGTCTCACTCTTATAAACTGAGCCTCTCCTATTAAATGACTTTTATTAAATGATCAAGTCTTTTTAAATACCTCTCTTATAGACTGAGCTTATTTTATTTAATGACACCCTTATTAAATGATCCTGTCTTATTAAAACTTTCTTATTAAATATCTCTCTTATTCATACAAAGATTTATATTTCATATTTTATTTTTTACATTTTTTTTCAGATATCAAGATGAATTACTACTTCAGTGAACTTCCTGTTTCTCTCAATGTTACCTTGCTTGTTGATAGACTGTTAATACTTTTAACTATAAAGAATTGTTGCAAAGGTCAAGTTTGGTTTTTATTGTTCTTCCTAGTTTAATAATTTTAAACAAAAATTGTTGTTTCCAAAGAAAAGCAGCTCTGTTGTATACTTGTTGAATTAAGAGAGTCTTGTTACCAAAAAAACTTGTTTTTGTTTTTTATTTCAATATACTTGAAGAATGTATTGGCAACATGCATGTTTTCAATCTGGGTGGGTAATATTTTAGGACTACCTCAACTCGTCTGCTAGGAGACATTTCCTAATGCTCACTAGGTGGTGTTGTACAAAAGAAAAGGTCACCTAATTGGCTTGACTGATAGGGATGTGGATTTGAATGTTGAGTCATTACATTATAATGTTAGCTATCTATCTAATTCAGCCTTTTATATGATGTAACCTCAGTACTTAGCTATTACAAGCATTTCCAAGACTATAAACCTTCCTGGAGCTGAACCACAAGCTTAAAGATGATCTGTTTACTAGCAGTGGCAGGAGCCTTTCTGCTCTTGAGTAGTATGTCATTGCCATACAAACAAAATCGGATGAGTGATTAATGTAAACAATACATGGTGCCAGTATGTGAAGGATGCATGGTGAATGTGTTGTATGAGATTGACTTTTCTTTTTCTTAGATATTTCTTTCCAATATTAGGGTGCATCTTCCAAGCTGCAGCATCTTATAAGCTGGAAAATACAGTAATTATGAGTGATGTTCAAAAAATAAAGTAAAAAAAAAAAACAGCATAAACCAACGGAAATTAAAACATTCTTTTAGCTATAAATAAAAAGCAATAGTGTGTGGCAGAGTATTCAGTACTTCTTGTAACATTTACCTTAAACTTCTTGATAAAATCCAAAGAGTCAGCAATATTGTTGGTCCTAATCTGGTGGCTTGTTTTCAATCACTTTCCCACTGCCATAATGTTGCTTCTCTGTGTCTTTTCTATAAATACTTTCATGGTAATTGTTCAGATGAGATCTTTGCTATTTTTTAATTTAAGTGCAGTACTAGACTGGCGTTGAGATTTCATCAATTTACAGTTATCTGGCTAAATGTAACTGTAACTTCTATGTTAACAGTGTCTTTTCTTGCTTGTGGAATTCCCTTCTGGCATTATGCTTTCCAGCCAATTTTACTCTGCAAAAACTTAAATGCAATGTCAGTCACTATCTGATTACTCTTTCCTTTTCCTGCTCATTATTAATGTTTCTCTTTCTAATTCTTCCACACCTTGTAACCCCTTGTGTCTTAGTGGCTTTACTGCCTTGCATGGGGTGATACCAATTAAAAAAAAACAAAAAAAACAGCTGGAGCCACCTTGATATTGATTTCATGTCTGTGTGACATTACAACAATGATGACTCCCACCAAGAAACAGAGGCAAACATAAAGGTGCAAGGTGTAATAAGATTTTTACATGATAAAAGTGTATGGATACAAAAAGTGATTACCTCCTTTTTGTTGAGATAGTCAGCCAGGTCACTTGATGACTGGTGAGTGATGTCTGGGGATAGTGACAAAGGCCATTTGCAATGTAGAGCTTTGATAAAAAGGATGTCCCTAACCCACAGTAGTAAGTCCTACAGGAAAAACCACCTGGTCTTATCAGGTTTATTGAGAAACTTCTGTAACTCTAGTTTTTCCTTTGTCTCCCCTTTCCACTGTTGTTGCATATATGTTATAATTTCTCTGCATGGGACACATATATATAATTTTGTGTACGATGTAACATTATAAAACTGTTTCTGAGAACAAAGCATGTTAGTTATTCATTTTATTTTGAGCTATTCCGTTCCATCCACGATATAATATCGTATTATATCATGGATATAATAATGCCTATAATGGGGGAAATACAAATGAGAGAATAAACATTTCTTCCCTTAGCTCTCCCATTATAAGAGTAAAACTCTTTACTTGTTTATGACAAATATCTAGTGAGCAAGAATCAGATATCAGTTTGGTGAAGTGCATTCCCATAACAGCATCTTCAGGATATGCCTATTTCTTGTATTCACTTTTATCAACAACTGAAGGCAACACTGTACATTGAACCTTTGATTCAACATAATAAACATTGCAACCTGTGGAATTTGGTCTTTAAATGTCAGTGGATCTGAGATACTATGGGGACCCACATGAAAAGGGAAGATGTGGTTTTACTTTGATCTGAAGTGTTTCTGTTTAATGACCAACAGATGGTTTTTTTTTAAGTCTGGTTTTCTAAGCGGGATACACTTTGACTGAAGTGGAATAGAAATTAACAGAGTAGATGAGGGACATTTTGGAGATCAAGTGACAACAAGACCAGAAATAAGGTGTGTCTGGGTGATTGTCTATATCAACAATCATGCTTGGGATCGGTCAGTTCTGGTCAGCCTTTAGCAGGAGATGGACTTGTTTGTTGCATGGTTTTGATGCTGTCAATTTATATTGCCAGCTACCACATCAGGATGAGTAGATGGATAAGGAGTTTGTAGAGGGAAGAGATCCACATAGCAGAAGTTCAGTGCCACTTACCTACCCAGGCAGGCAAACGAAGCCCTGAATATAACAATATGTAAAGCAGGGTTCATGTTATCATTAATCGATGTGACGTTTATCTTTCACCTAGTTACCTTGTGAGAATGCAGTAGTCTCTTGCACACTGAGGGGATTGAGGATTGAAATACAATGTGGGATAATCATTGGTCAGTTAGTGAAAAGCTTGGAACAGGGCCATATTATATGTTTACAGTTCATGAAATTATCCACAAGAAATTGGTATATCAGAAAATGTCATCCTGTTGGGTCCCAAAGCAATTGGTTGGAGAACATAAGTTCCTGCTCCTGGGTATTTCTTCTCAGCTAAGGAAACAGTTTAAGGGAGCTGATGGAAGCTTTCTAGAACATGTAATCATGTGATGAAACCTGGGTGCATCATGTTATCTTGGAGAGAAAGGTTGATTCTATGATCTGGAAGCAAGCCTCATCACCAACCCTCAACAAAAAAAAAACAAAGAAAAAAAAAGAAAAATTCAAAGTTTAGCAAAGAAATTGTTTCCAATTGTTCTAGGATGTAAAGAGTGTGATGTCAGACAGTTAACAGCCAGATATTGTGAAACATTGAACATATTGAGGTAAGCTGTTAGTCAAAATAATCGTGGATGTTTGTGTAGGGGTGTCATCCTGCTGAATCACAATGCCACTCCACACCTCCAAACCTGACAAAAAATGGCTCCAACAAGAAAATTAAATGATAATGATGAATTTCTTTAATATATAGAAAAGATTAATTATTATTATTATACTAATTTATTTTAGTTACAACTATTTTAAAAATTTTAACTATAATTCCTGAGCCTGGTCAGTAATAATACAAATATTACTAATTAACTCATAGCTGGAGGGAGAAGGGGTGGATTCATACTTTTCCAAAAGATATTTTTGCATAAGTGAATTTAATGGACCCAACTGGAACTGGAACTTCTACTCTCTGATTAACAATTCCATGCTATCATTCATTACACCACCTGCACATCCAAGCTTACAGCACCTGATATTCCCAAGCAGTCACCCATCTAGGTACTAACCAGGCCTGACATTACTTATCTTCTGTGATCATACTAATAACAATAGAAAATATTGATTGTCTTTTTTAAACTTGAATAAAGTACAGTAATTTGTTTTAATTCATTATTAATTGTTAAATAAATAAACTGAAGCATACATTAATAACCAAAAAGTTCAATAAAATGCTGGGGTATTGCAATAAACAAAATTCTGTAAATAAAAAAACAAGAAAAAGTAAAAAGAAAACCTGAAATTCTCCCATGGGAGTGGGGGAGGGGGAATTAACCCCTGTTGAGAATGCCTGCATTAGAAAAACAATAATAGAATAATATGTTCCCAGGAAGTCAAGCAAAGAGAAAGGGTAAGTTTAAATGGTGAGATTTGAGATTTGTAAGGTTCAGTAAGATGCACTGTAATAAAAAAACATTCTTTCAGAGTCAAAAATGGATGCAAGTTTAAGTCTTGCTGAAACCTTATCATTGATATACACAATTTATTAATGGCTCTTGATTAACAAACTGAGGAGTTGCATTGAAATTAAGATGAAAGAAAATTAATTGATCACCTTTGACATTTGTTGATAAGCAAAAGGTGTCTTTATACAGAAGCAGAAATTTTCTTTATCAATGATTTTTAACTACAAAAATTTTAATCTGTGGAAATAAAAACATGGCAAAATAAATACTAACAAAAATATAGAGACATACTGAAATGCATTTTAAAAACAAAAAGAAACAATGCATAACAAAAAAAGAGGAGTAATAGAAAAATATATATTATCTTAAAATGGTAATACTGGTATTATAATGGTATTACCATTATAATATTATTACCGGTATTATAATGGTATTACAATTATAATACCGGTATTACCATTTTAAGAAAATCTATATTACTTCCCTTCCCACCACAAATTGGAGAGGAAATATATAAATAAACATTGGTAATTATTATATGGTTTGATAATAAAACTTTTCAAACAAGTACCTTAGAAGTTCCACTATTGGCAGTTTTATGCGCGCATTAGAAATCATCAGCTGGTACTGAGGAACAATGGACAAATGTCTTATTATCATACATTGTTCCACATTTCCAGGTGATGATTTCTACCTTGTTTGAAACTGACAGTAGCAAAAGTGGAGCAGTGCACATCTGAAAAGATTTATTATTGTATTTTAGGTTCTGTATTTTATATTTTCTTTTACATTTTATAATGAAATAATGTGCATTTATTATATTTTTGCATATATACATACATACATACATATATATATATATATATATATATATATGTGTGTGTGTGTGGTGTGGCCAGGGCCGCAGTCTGCTGTCTTTGGTCTGGATCGATCCTGGTATTGGAGAACAAGCCATCAGCCCACACTTGTCGGTCAT